ACTATATTAATTAACATAGTGCTTTCCTGGCAGATCCCACAAACCCAAGTGATATCATGAGAGCCCCTCAGATTGGCAACCAAACTCAGTAGTATTGCTGGTCTGGAGCCCCATCTATGATTAGTGTTTGCAGTGGGGGCAGACTTATGGGGCTTAAGTTATGTAAGTGTACTAATTGCGGTGGTGAGTGTTGAAATAATATCTCAGTCATTATTAACAATAATGCACTGCCCTCCTTGTTCATCGACTTGCTCAAGCGGGCCCAGTAATGTCTCCATCGTGAGACACGTTGATACTGTGTTTGGCATATCCAATACATCACAGGTAGCTTGCCAGACTTTGCTGTGTGGGCAAGATACTCTCGGTAGCTTACCAGGCACTCTGAGAGGGGCAGAGGAATTGCATTCAGGTGGGCCACGTGGGCTGTGTGCAAGGCAAACTCCCTACCCGCTCTGCTATCATTACAGCCCTAACAATCACTGTCACTGTCACTGTCCTCCTGTTGTTCATCGATTTGCTCGAGCGGGCTCAGTAACATTTTGAGACTTGTTACTGTGTTTGGCATATCGAATATGTCACGGGGAGTTTGCCAGGCCTTGCCGTGCGGGCAAGATACTCTTGGTAGCTTGCTGTGCACTCTGAGAGGGGCGGAGGAATCTTACTCAGGGGGGCCACATGGGCCACATGCAAGGCAAACGCCCTACCCTCTCTGCTATCACTACTGCCCTAACAATAATGACTATTATTAATATTTTTATTTCTAATAGAGTGTTGAACCACTGGAAACAGGTTCTTGATCTTCAGGATGAGCTGGTGTAGAAAAGTCACTTAATAAATTCTGCTGGAAGTGTGGCTGCAGACTATAAACATTTGCAACTAATCATTTGCAATTTAATGAGCTATACATAGAATTTAATAATAAACATTTGAGGGTCAAAAAGGTTAGGTATTTGCCTTGCATGTATTGGACCTGTGTTCAAACCCCAGCACCATACTCGAGCCCTGTTAGGAGTGATCCCTGAATACAGAGCCAGAGGTAGGACCTGAGCACTGTTGGGTGCTCCCTTATACACCCAATCGTAAGCATTTGAAAACTTTTGACAGTAAATGGACATTGCTAGGATATTCAGGAATGAAAATATAAAAATATCAGCCAGTGCCAGTGGAGGTTTGGGATGGGAGATAATTCTTTGCCATGCATAGTTTAAAGCATATTGTTTTTAAAAGATTGTCTCATTGTATTGGGTCAGATGAAATCAGTACTGGGAGTTGGAGTGTGAGTGCTACAGTTAAGCAGATGCGTTTGTATTGTCCAGTATCTGCTGCTTGCAAATAATTTTCAAATACAAATTAGAGTGCAGCAAATTATTTTCAAATGTTTTAAAAATATCTGAACTTCAGTATTCTCATCAATACAATGGAAATGGCAATATCTCTTACCTCATTAGGGGTGGAGAAGACCAAATGAAATGGGCAAGGGAAAATGCTAAGCACCCATTTTGGGATATAGTAGGCTTAATTCCAGTATTCACTGTCACTATCCTCCCATTGTTCATCGATTTTTCTCGAGCGGACCCAGTAACGTCTCCAGTGTGAGACTTTGTTGTTACTGTGTTTGGCATATCAAATACATCACAGGTAGCTTGCCAGGCTCTACCGTGTGGGCGAGATACTCTTGGTAGCTTGCCAGGCTCTCTGAGAGGGGCAGAGGAATCGAACTCGGGCCAGCCATATTGGCTGTGTGCAAGGCAAATGCCCTACCTGCTGTGCTATCGCTCCAGCCCAATTCCAGTATTATTTCTTTTAATTCAGTTCTTGGCATTGGTATTTCTGTTGTGGTGAAAGTATGCTTTGTAGAAGTGTGTTTGATTTAGGGCTTTGTATCCTAAATCCTTCCTTTCATAAGCAGACAGTTTTTAAAATTTTAAAACAAACACATTTCAAGGAATACTGCTTCTTAAGAATTTTTAATGAATCACCAGATATAGTTACAGACTTACAAACTTTAATTAAATTTCAGTCATTGTTTCAGTCATACAACAATAGAGTACCCATCCCTCCACTAGTGCCCATTCTCCACCACCAATGTTCCCAGTATCCCTCCCACCAACCCCATCCCACACCACCCCTTGCCTCTGTGTTAGGCACATTCCCTTTTACTCTCTCTGTCCTTTTGGGTGTTATGGTTTGCAATACAGCTAGTAAGTGGCCATCGTGATTGGTCCATTGTCTACTTTCAGCACACATCTCCTAAAGAAACTTTGGTACATATATACAATGGAATATTATGCAGCTGTTAAAAAGATAAAATCATGAAATTTGCATATAAGTGGATCAACATGGAGCATATCATGCTAAGTGAAATGAATCACAGAGGGACAGACATAAAATAACTGCACTCATTTGTGGAATACTACTTTTTGTTATTTTGTGTTGCTGGAGCGATAGCACAGTGGGTAGGGCGTTTGCCTTGCAAGCAGCCAACATGGCCGACCTGAGTTCGATTCCTCCGCCCCTCTCGGAGAGCCTGGCCAGCTACCGAGAGTATCTTGCCCGCATGGCAGAGCCTGGCAAGCTCCCTGTGACGTATTTGATATGCCAGACACAGTAACAACAAAGTCTCCAATGGAGACGTTACTGGACCCACTCGAGCAAATTGATGATCAACGGGAGGGCCTTCACTGCCTTCACCTTCACCATTTTTGTTGCAGTAACATGATTTACAATACTATTAGTGATAGTTTCATACATACATTGGAAAGTTGCTTTTCATAGAATTCCTCTGGGATGCCTGATCCTCATCTCAAATTGTGGCAATTGTTTAAAACACTTGGAGACTGTTATTTGGCATTTGTATTGGATTCCATTTCAGTGATCTATTCAGAAACAAATCACCTCAAAATGTAGTAGTTTATGGTCTGAGATATATCTCAGTCGTAATGTGATAGGGTAAGGCCCTGGGCTTGATTCCCGGCAACAGAACTAACAAAAATTAAGACTCTGGGGTTAAGCCAACAGTTCATCTTTGTCACTCATGATTCTGTGGATAGACTATGTTTGAACGATTCTCAGTTGCACTTCAGTCAGAGGTTTACTGAGACAGCGACCATCTGAAAACCACAGTAGGTTGGATGTGCAAGATGGAGTCTTCATACTCCTTGATGCCAGGGCTTATGCAGCTGGAACGGCCTAGATCTGCTGGGCATCTTTCCATTTCTGCGGGCTTTCCACATGGTTAGCTTGGGTTTCCTCACTGCAGACTGAGTTTGGTCGGAGAGAGTGTTGTTGGCAGCCAGCTTTCCCCAGGGTGGGTGTTTTCAAAGGCAGGAAGTTGAGACTGCTGCACCTGGTCCACCGAATCCTTCCTTTACTCAAGGAAAAGAGGTAGCTCCCATTTTCCATAGGAAGAGTCAAAGAATTTGTGCTGTTTTTAGTGGAATACAGAACACAAAAGTGGTTTGCTTATGGGTAATATGATTCCCCCGCTTCCCATTAGTCAAGTAATGTTATTTTCATTTCCATTCTGAGTTAATACAATATAGCTGCATTGTGGGTTTCATAAGCCTTTCGTTTCTAGTGGTTAACTTTAGCCAGAGGACTGGGTGAGCCACAGAATTCCTGGTGAGTTCTATCCAAGAGGTATTTCCCCCTGTGAAGTCCTCCTGTCAGGCTCCAAATGCCTGTTTCTACTAGGGCCTTCATCTTTCCCCAGAATTTCCCTGCTGCACACCCCTCCCGCTTCTTGACTTACAGCCTTCAAACTAGCTCTGGCTCATGTGCTCAGAGCCTGTCACCCTCCCCATTTTTTATAGAGTACATGGACCAGATATTCCAATAGATCTCACAGGTTTCCCATTGTTGGGAAGGCATAGCTTTCCAATGAATTTTTCCCCCCATGGTTTCCCAGCTTTTTCCAACACTATCATTCAAACTCACAGCAGTCGAGATGTAGACATACAGTCTCTCTCTCTCTCTCTCTCTCTCTCTCTCTCTCTCTCTCACACACACACACACACACACACACAGGATCCTGTCATTCATTCAGTCAGTATTTATTCATGTGTCTCTGCTGGGCTCTGTGCTTAACTTCAAGTGCCAACAAGCTCAATTACCATTCAAAAAGCATGCCTATGTTTTCCCTTTTCTGGGGCTTTGCTTAACATTCTTGAAGCTTAGGTGCATTTCTTATGAATGTTTTGTTGTTTTCCTTAACTGAGTCCAGTGCTCTAGCTAGTGGTGTAGCAATGCACCTGGAGGAACATTTCCTTCTCTTTGTCCTTCACCTTCACCTTTCATTTCTGTCTCCTTTGGCATCCTTTCCCTCTTGGAGGCTCACCTGATGATGAGCTCGCCCCTCATTGTCATATTTAAAACTGTAACATCCCCCATTCCATCAGAGACACATGGTGAGGATTGAGTGGGGAAGCATTTTGGTGGGCTTTGTTAAAAAGCACAATATCCCTCTCAAGCATTTGTTCATACCAGTCACTGAAACTGCATCTTGGAGCATATTCAAGGCAGCCCCAAGGCAGGTTGGGGAGTGATTGAAGAAGAATCTTTTATTCATCACCCTTTAGAAAGGCACAGTTGTGTGGCCATGAAGTGTCTGAACTGTGCACCTCTGGTGGTCCCCTTCTTGCTTTTACAGATTGTAATTTTTCAAAATCCACTTGCAAGGAGAGGCTATGGTATTGGCACCAAAGAAGCACTGTCAGGATGAGGAAGAAACTTATGGCTGCATTAGCTAAAGTTTTTATAATATACAGACTGACACCCCATGTCCTCCCCAGAAATCCTCAGCTGTTGCCCTACACAAGTCAGGCTGCAGGGAGATCTGACAAGTGAATTGAGTCCAACTTCTGATTTCACTGAATCCACGTTTCTGATGCTATTCTCCCCCCCGCCCCCCAACCCCATCCCGCTCCCTACCACCCCGAGCTGGCGTCCAGCAAGGGCTAACTGTGGCACCTGGTTGTTGTTTTTTCAGATTCCAAATCGACCTCCCACAGCTCTCGGACACAAGGTGCTGACCCCAGACGCCTGCCATGAAACCGCACTTGAAGCAGTGGCGACAAGGAATGCTTTGCGGAATATTTGCGTGGGGGCTTTTCTTCGTGGCGCTATTCCTCTATTTCACAGACAGCAACCCTGCTGCTCTGGTGCCCAGCTCCTGCCCACTCCTGGACACCAGACGGCTCCTGCCCCCGCAGGGCAAGCGCAGGGCCATCATGGGTGCCCTGCAGGAGCCCGCGGGGACTGAGAGCCTGGACTCCACCCGAGGGCTTCTCGACGGACCCGCTTCTGAGCACTTCTACCCCGGGCAAGAGGAGCTGCAGAAATGGGCACAGCAGCCGGCTGGGCAGAAGGAAGCGGAGTTTCTATCGTCTCAGCTGGGGAGAGAATCCCAAAGCACTTTCTACACGGATGCTGACGACTTTTTTGCAGCAGCTCAGGCAGGGCCGCGCCGCCATCCGCAGGCCACTTGGGGGTCCCTGTTCCCCCGTGATCAGGGCCAGCGCCCAGGGCTGTGGCCGCGCGGGCGCTGGAAGAAGCAGCCCTGGGGGCAGGGCCCGGCCCGCGCGCTGGAAGAGGGCGACGGCGACGGCGAGCGGCTGTCCTCCTCCATGTCCAGGGCCTTCCTGCGGCGCCTCTGGAAGGGAAACGTGTCGTCCAAGATGCTGGCCCCGCGCCTGCAGCAGGCGATGAGGGACTACGTGAGCGCCAACAAGCACGGCGTGCGCTTCCGAGGGCGCCGGGCAGGGGCGCGGAGCCGCGCGCAGCTGCTGTGCCAGCTGCGGGGCCGCGTGCGCGTGCGCACGCTCGACGGCACCGAGGCGCCCTTCGCCGAGCTCGGCTGGCGCCACCTGGTACCCGCGGTGCCGCTCAGCCGGCTGCACCCGCACGGCCTGCGCAGCTGCGCCGTGGTCATGTCCGCCGGTGCCATCCTCAACTCCTCTCTGGGCCCCGAGATCGGTGGGTGTCGGGCGCTCAGGCGCACTGTTCCCTCCCCACGGGACTCCCCGCTCAGCGCCTGGGGCTTCCGTGCCACCCCCGGGGGCGTGGAAGCTGCTGAGTCTAGCTGGGGTTAGACTCCACACACGTACGCACGCATGCACCCCCTGTACTTGGGCCCCTCCCTGTGCCACGATATGGCAAGGGTCCCTAGGGAGATGTGCTTCGGTGGGTGGATGGGTGGGGGTGAGTCATTGAAGAACAGAGATGTGTGTCCCCAAAGGCGGGGTTGTCAGCGGGCACGTGCTACCTCGCCTCCGTAGTTTCCATCTCTGGGGAAACCACATTCTCTGCGTGACCAGGCGTCCAGCTTCTCCCGCAAAAATCCCATTGGGCCCCCTATGTGGTAGAAATTTGGGAGAGACGCCAGAGAACGAGAGTAAACAGGAGATTCCCATGGAACAATGACAGAATGTCGCCTCCAAAGATGAAAATATAGGATCATTTAGTTCTTGCGGGGACCCATTGCCCACAGGTGCCCACTGCTTTTTGAAGACAGGATTTCTGGCATATGATTTCAGTCATACCAGCAAGGGTGATGAGTTCCCACCCCAGGCACAATGCCCGCCGTCAAGGTCGTGGCCAGTATATCTGAGCAGCAAGTCCACCTTCTCTGTCCTGCCAATCCATGGTTAGACAGCCTGTTGTGCAGTTCCACTTCTGAGCAAGCGCTTTTCATCCTTTGAGAACCCTTTGAACAGTCGTAGAAGCAGGAATTTCTTTGACAGACCTGCTTGGCCATAGGGGGATGTGTAGGTCTGACATTGGAAGGCAAAAGAGTGGCTACTGTAGTTGGGCTCTGAATCTGCAGGATCAGATAGATCTCTGGATGCTCAGCCAAGGTTCTTCCTTCAATCTATTTTTATTGGGGGTGGGGGTGGAGGATGGTGGTGAATTAGAGTTGTAAGTGTAAATTCCTTCTCCCTGAAACAATCTAGTCTTGGCCTTAAGATCTCAGACTCCACCTATGCCCAGAAAACTCAAATCTTTACACCCCTTCCTTCAGCCAGCAAACCTCTTTGATCACTGTTACCTGCCAGCTTTTGTACTAGGTACTAAGAAAACAAACCTGAGCTAAACATAGCCTTGTCTACCTTGTCTAGCAATGCAGGGAGACATTGGTTTCTAGCTAATACCATCTCAAAGTAGACGGTTTGTTACTAATCTAGAAGAGATATATGGGGGCATTGCCCAGATGTTAGAAATAGCCTCTGCTTTGGTTTTATTTGCCTTTTTTTTCTTCCTTTGAGAGTAACTAATACTGCAGAACTATTGGAAATCGGGGCATGTCAAGCTCCACAGCCTAGACCTCATCTCAGAGGTGCTTAGGAATGAGGCTGTGTAAAATTTGTAATTTTTTTCTTTTTTTTTCAAAGAAAAGACAAGACACAAATCTAGGTATTAGGTCTGGGGTTATTATGTCCCCATGAAGACTTTACAGCAGGTACAATATAACACTGTCAAAGTGTCGCATAAGCATATATCAGAAGCCACTGTAAGACACGCTTCAAATTATTAGTAGGAAAGAGTGTTTTAGAGGTCCCTGGGGTGAAGTAACCATGATTCTTGTTTCTAGGACCATCACTAATGTACGATGGGATTTTAAGTATTATGCTTTAAAGTCTGCAATAGCTTGCTTCTAACTTTGTGTTGCTTCATTTAAAACACCTCAGCCTTGTGCTTGCATGTTTGAATTGCTTTTGTGTGTCGGGAAAATTCCTTCGCTCTTTATTGTGGCATCATTATCTCTGAACAGAGTCTTGTTAAGTTGACTCTGTGTAGGATTTGAAGACAATGTGAAAGACCTGGGAATTCTGTATTTCCTGGGGAACATGAAATGTCAGTGACAGCTTTGTTATTTATAGTATCCAAATTTAATGTCTGATTGTACCTATACATAAAATTTCATGATTAGAATCACCTTATTATATGTAATTACATGTAAAAATATGTTCAGGAATTTAAAATAGAACTCTTTTTTTTTTGGAGTTGTGGTTATCGTAGCAGAGCACGCAAATGTCTACTCCATTTGCGTCCCTGAATTATTTTTTGTTTGGGCCACATGCAGCAATGCTCAGGGGTTAGTCCTGGCTCTGTACTCAGAAATTACTTCTAGCAGTCCTCGGGGGAACCGTATGGAATGCCAAAATTTAAACTCATGCATATGGCAAGCATCCTCTACCCACTGTACTATTTCTCCACCCTCATGAGTGGGCTTTAAAATCCAGTTTTGTACCAACCATTTTAAGAATGTATAACCGTAATGTGGTTCCATTGTAAAATCAGAGTGTTTTTTAATATGCAGGTAATTAGCAGTTTTGTCTACCAAATGCTTTATACCCACCCACCCCTCTCTCATTTGGGGGCAACACCTGACTGTAGTCAGGTTTCACTCCTGGCTCTCCACTCAGAGAACACTTTTGGAGGGCTTGGAGAACCATATGGAGTGAAAGGACTTGAATGCAGGTCAACAAGCACCTTACTTGCTGTATTATTCATCTACATTATACCTCCTTTTTACTCATGTTATCATAGACGCACCTAGTTAATGGATCTCTTAAAACAAATTGGACTATTGGGGAAAACTAAACATTTTTTGTTTGTTTGTTTTTGGATCACACCTGGCGATGCTCAGGGGTTACTTCTGGCTTGGCACTCAGGAATTACTCCTGGTGGTGCTCAGGGGACCATATGGGATGCTGGGAATCGAACCTGGGTCAACCATGTGCAGAATCAAACCTGGGTCGACTGCGTGCAAGGCAAAACACCCTACCCACTGTGCCATCACTCCAGCCCCAAAGCTAAACTCTTTAGCTAACTTTATCTTGGTCCCTGATAAGAGTGATTGTACATAAGGTAGGGTGTTGTCAACTTGATTTTGACCCCCAGCACCCCATTTGGTACCACCCCATTTGGTACCACCCCATTTGAGCCCTGCAAGGAGTGACCCCTATGAGTAGAACCAGGAATCAACACTGAGCATCTCTGAATGTGGGCCCAAAAATGAAACAAAATTATCTTGTTCCCTAAATATACACCTGTGAGTTGGCTAAGTGAAAATTAAAAAAAAAAAAAAAAAGCTTAAAAAAAGTGACCACGATCCCTGAGCATGGGAAGAACTAGAAAAGCACCCGTGTCAGTCCTGGTAGATGCAGAATGAATGCTTTACCCCTTGGGAACTGAGCCTTCGTGGCTCAGGTTTGCCTATTGAGAGCCCTTTAGCTCCTCCTGTGGTTGCTCTCCATTGGCTTTGCAGTGCTTCCCCATGCTATACACAGTGAATTGTGTGTAATTGCTTTTAAGAAAAGTATAGCCATTGTAAACACCTCCCCTTTGAACAGGTTATTGAAAATCAAGCTTAACTATCTCGGGAACACTCCTTTCCTAGAGTCATAAGATGATTTTTTTTTCACCATTACATGTTAAACAGTAAGTTAGTAGTCAGATCTAGTGGTAGTTCTGGGGCATAGAGGAAAGTGGAGCAGTCCTATGGAGGAGAATTAGCTTCGCTGAACTAACAACAGGGAATAGAAGACATTCAAGTAGATTCAATAGTGTACTTGGAACTTATATTCTAAGGAGTTTGGGGGACAATAAAGAGTGAGGGAGTGAATATATAGGGCCTTTTATGATTTGGTTGTGAGAGGTTGATACTGAACATGTCCTGTGGCCCTTAAGGAAAAAAAATTCAGAAAGCAAATAGTAGTCTTCAGTGAGACTTAATTACTCTTCACCATATGTAGTATTAACCACTAGGGATATAAAAATGAAGCTACATCTTAAATTCCTTTGCAGAATAGGATGAAGACTGACAATCCCAGGATTATGTTCAGGAGAAGGACAAAAAGATAAATAGATGGGTGAGAAGAAATGGCAAAAGAATCCTAGAATCCATTGTGGGGGCAGAGAGCTGGGAAGAAGAGTTGATTAGCAAGGACTGCTGAGAAGAGGGACATCTGGGCCAAAGGACAGCATAGTAGGCAAGTGAGGGGGTCAGAGGAATAGCACAGTGGGTAGGGTGCTTGCCTTGCACACGAATGACCTTGGTTTGATCCCCAGCATCCTATATGGTTCTTGAGCTCACCAGGAATAATCCCTGAATGCAGAGCCAGGAGTGAGCTCTGAGTACCATCAAGTGTGGCAGACAGACAGACAGACACACACACACACACACATGCACACACACACACACACACACACAAACACACAAAAACAAAAAACCCAGGCAACTTAAAAACAGATGTGCTGGGTGATGAGAGCCGTAAAAAGCACTGGGGAGTTGGGGAAGCAAAAGGTAGTCTACCGTGTATTACTCAGAGATATTCTTGTGTATTATTTAAAAGAAACCTCACTTCATAATTTTAGAGATACATAACACGTATGGGGTGTTTATTGCAGATTGGTCCTCTACGACATGCACTCAAATTTTTATCTGTGCCTTACAATCCTAAATTACAGATAGCATTGTTCCAATTGTAGAGATAAATGAAAGCTTGGGCAGATGCAGTAGTGAGAGCCTCAATTTAAACCCTGGTGTCGGTGTCCAGAAATTCTACCTCTGACCCATGACCCATTGAGATATCTAAGGCAAAGAGTCTTAGGGTCAGACGGCCATTAATTTGAAGGACTGGAGAAATGAGAGGGAGGGAAGCAGTGCCCAAAGCCAGAGCTGTAGCTTAGCAGATTCTTCCTGGAGAGCTGCTTCTAGACGAGTTTTCATCTTCCTTCAGTGATTATATTTATCCTGGCTCTGTTCTCAAGTTCAGTGTGAAATGAGTCCAGCCTGGAACTGCCTTTTTCAGAAATGAGGATTTACTTTATCCCCTTGTACTGCCTGTCAAATGTATGCCTTCTTTTCTAAATATGAAGGGACACCTTGTTTTTTCAGGTGTGTTATCAAGGAGATGCACAGGCAGGCATCCATTTAAAAACGTGTCTGAGTGGCAGATATTCTAGCTTGT